GATGGGGCCGAGCACCGAGCAGCGGCCAAACTCCGGGGCCGCCGCAATCCCGGGCCCGAGCAACGTTGCACCTCGGCTCCGGTGCAGCCGCAGCCAAGGCGGGAGCCTGCTGCGCCCCCCCCCCAACTCCGCGGCCCGAACCCAACTCCCCCCCTCCCTCCGGCGGGAGCTGCAAAGGGGCTCCGGAGCGGCCCCAACTCCCTCCAATGCAACAGCAGTTGGAAGGGGGGAAAACAAGCAGCGAGGGCTGGAGCGAGGAGCAGCGATGGGGAAGCACTGCAATGAGGGAGCGTGGTCCAGGCAACAGGAGAAAGATGCAACCTCAAGTCGAATGCAACATGCAATCCCCGGCCGCGCTCGCTCGCCCGCTCCCTCCCCTCGCCACCCCGCCCCCTTTCCAAATAACTACCCTTGAACCACTTTATTAGCCGCACTTAGTCCACACTCGCTTCGGGGAGGGGCAGGGGACGGGGCCCTTGGCTCACCTTTATTTAGTGCTGCTTTCTGCCCCCCTCTCCATGTTTTTTATTCCTAAGTTCTTTTGTTCTAAGGGGGATGATGGCATTTACTTTTCTGCTTTGTGTAGCAGGGCAATCACTGGGAATCGGCCACGTATAATCCGGCGGTTTGTCATATTTTATTAGTGAAAGTATTTTATGCCTATTCTACCTCCGAGGACTGTAACATGGAGAACTGCAGGGAGAGGGGGAAAAAATCTGAAGAATTCTTGTTTTGAGAGATTTCTTGACGGGGCGGGGAGGGCCTTTTTTTTTTTTTTTTTTTTGGAGAGGGTTTATTTAGATTTTTTAATCGATAGTTTTCAACTTAAAGCTTAACGTTTTTGCGCAGATGTATTACTGGATTCTAAAATAACTAATTTTTTTAAAAGTAAAAAAATCTAGATCTAAAAAAAAAATCCCATCTGGACAGTGATATTATCTGTTCCGTGCAGCACGCTGGACTTAACATAGTGTTGGCCTTCGAATGTTAAATAACAATAAACCCCAACCTCAACTGAATACAAATAGGGGGTGGGGGTGGTTTTGATTTTAAGGCTCAGCACTTTTGTAGCATCTGCCACTACGCATTTTCCAGGCATTGATTAGCCATGCAACTCCCATAGGCATGGAGTCCAGTTTTTGCAAATAAAGAGCAACAGTGGTGAGATGATTTGCCCAAAGTCAAAGTGAGTCATTGGCAGGACCAGAAGTAGCCTTAGACTTGATTCGTTCCTAGTCACACCTTTTCCATTAAATACTATTTCCTCCAAGAACTACAATAGTTTTTAAAAATAAATACACATTCTTTACCTTGTTAGTGTGTTCACTAGAGGTGCTTTGAGATCGTTGGATATAATGGTTATTTTCTTCTGTGACCTACAAAATTAAGTTTAGCTTTTCAAGAGAAAGGAAATTTTTAAAATTCAGATTTAAAGTTTAAAAAAAAGTGTGGACTTTATTTGACATGTGTAGGCCACGTAATAGTCTGAGTTTTATGTTAAAATTTTTACAGCAGAGAAAGTGGATAAGAGTTTGAGAGTGAAAATGAAAATCCCTATAAATGATTCAGGAAGGCTGGGTGAATTCATAATGTTGTGAAACTAAACCTGTGATACAGTCAGGATGAGTAACGGCACAGGTGGTAGTAAGACCCAGTTCCACCACCCTGGAGGTGACTAAAGTGAAACGAGGACGGGTGGGGCCATAGCCTGATGTTGTCATTTCAAATCATAGAAGGCTGTGAACATTTTTTCAGGGAAAGACTCCCTCAGTGTTCTTTATGGAAAAAGAAGTTTAAATTTTTTTTTTCCAGAATTTCATAGGGAAAAAATCCAGAAGCTCAAATTGTGCATCAGTGTGTGACTGCTCTAGAACCGGTCAGCACACTTTCTTTAAAAGCTCACATAGGAAATATCTTAAGCTTTGCCGACCATACAGTTGCTATCACAACTTCTCAACTCTGTTTTACTCTTGTAACACAAAAGCCTCTATAGACAACATGTAAACAAATGTGCCTGTGTTCCAATAAAACTTTTATGTATGAGGGCCGGGGATTTAGCTCAGTGGTTTCGCCACCTGCCTCCCAAGTGCAAGGTCCCGAGTTCGATCCCTGGTACCAAAACAAAATTTTTTTTATGTATGGACTTTAATGCTTGAATTTCATGTATTTTTCATGCATCATGGAATGTTATTTTGATTTTTTTCAACAAGTAAAAGTTTTTT